GTTGGGGGATGGGCTAGATACGGACTGAGAAACTTGTGCAAAGTGTTCAGCAACAATAATGAACAGTGACAGGGAACATCTTTGTCTGACGCTCACACATTTCAAGATGACAAGATAATGCGAAATACAGGGACTTTACTGGAATCGAGTCGTTTCCTTCTACTTGACACCAGACAGCATACCCCCAGGGTCTCACAGGTCTTTTCTGATCTGCAGTGGCCAGCATCTGATTGTCACCTAGTCGAACTTCCTACAGGAAGTGAGAAAATGGGAGTCCAAAAAGGGTCAAGTGTGTCGCTCAAAGTGCCACGGCTAGTACCTGGCACAGCCAGGATTTGAATCTAGGTCTCCTGACGCCCAGCATGTCTCTAAAGGTCAGAATTTTTACAAAGCTTGAAGTCTCCACGTAAAAACAAACAAACAAACAAAAAACTGGCATACATAGAAAGGATTACTTGCTTATTAGTTAACATAAACAGTTTTTAAACTCAAAAACAACTTTTACTTCCCACCCAGGAGAACGTGGCAGTCACACAGGCTGAGTAGACAGAAATGGGTAAACATATTATTCAAGGAGACACCTGCAGGGGTCCCCACGGGAGGTAACAGGCTCACCTGTAATGAGAGCGTCGGGCCGGGACTGCTCCTTTCTCCAAGCAGGAACGAAGACTGTAACATCTTTGTGGCCTCTTTCCAAAAACCAATCCACCGCCAATTTTATTCCTCGGCAGGAAAACACTTCTTTGTTTCCATGGCTGAAAGATAATTTTAGAGCACTTAAAACACAACAAAACCCAAATTCAACTCCATTAATTCAAATCTGTAAACAGAAACATTAAGATAATTAAAACAGGGATAAGAAATTCAAATTGAAGATGGGGTTTCATGGCTCAGGGAAGGATGAAGATAACTGAGCAGTGGACAAATCTGTGAGAAAAAAGAAAAAGAAAATTGGGATGATTATTGTGTGGAGAATAAAGGAAAATGAGCTTTCAAATGTGAAGCTGCTAAGGTTAACTAGTTAAGATGCAAGCTCTTTTCAAGAGAATAGGGGAAAGAAGCGTCAGCCCCAGCAGGAGCAATTCCAGCTAAAGGTAAAAAAAATCATATACTATATTCAGTATCTTGTAGAAACCCATGGTGAAAAAGAATATGAAAACGAATATATGTATGTTCATGTAAGGCTGAAGCACTGTGCTGTACATCAGAAATTGACACAGCATTGTAAACTGACTACACTTCAATAAAAAAATATATATTTATATGTAAAAGTTATATAGAAAAAAAATCTCTAAAAACACTGAAATACGAGTTTCTCAAAACTTTTCATTCTCAAGAGTTCTTATGCATATATTTCAATCCAAGCTTAGGTAACGCACAACAGCTGTCAGGTGGCCAACGTGAAACAACGTACACACGCGCTCTCAAAGGGGAAACTCAATGCTTAATCTCATACAAGGAATACTTTCCATGTCCTTCCATGAAAAGACACCTGGTTTAGCAATATTGTGTTGGACAAGGATTAATGATGACAAAAGGGTATTCAACATTGGATCAGCAGTTTTAGTGCCTAAAAAACAATGCCCAACTAATGGTGTAGCCACTCAGTTTTCATCTAGCACCAGCCTCTGGACTTGAGCACTTTAACCGAATAATTCAAAGTAACACTTACCCTAATTCTAATGTTTTTAAAGAAACAGTCTCTTGCTTTGAATGCAATACATTATTTAACAGTTTGAGCTCTGAAGGCCCCATTCTTATATAAAAAGGAAACATCTTTATTTCTTGGGACTAAGGAGGGCTGAATGGAATAAGGTAAGTAACTGCTCTGTTAACTTTTAGCACAAATCAAGCATTAGGTATATTAATATATTGTTCGAGGGGTCCCATGGGAAGCACCAGAACCATCTAAACATGGCTAATCATATCTGAAGGCCAAAACAGAAATAGACCAGCTTGCATTGTTGATGCTGAAGGCTATGAATGCAAACCACAGACACTGTTCATGCTCCACAGAGCTGTCCTATTGGTCCGGGACAAGGTTAGAGGTAAAATTAGATGCACTGGAAGCTTCAGAGAAAAGGATAAGGGAAAGGGGAGCCTGAGTTACATTTTCTAGGTAAGAAGAGTTACCTCATAGCCTCGATAATATCCCAGCAAATGACACAGAGTGATGTTAGGTTTCACGGAAAATAGTGAAATTTCATCAGTCTTCGGAAAAACTACAGAAAATGATAGTTATCATCTCTTGCCAGGATAAGTAGGCTAACTATTCCTAAATGCAAAACCCAACCTGCTAAGACCTAACTATTTTTATTTTGCATTAATGCTTTGAAAATCTAAGGGTATTATGCTCTGCTAGTCACCAATGGCATTTTGTTAACTGACACTTGAGCGTTTAATTGCTTCTGGCTTTAAAGAGAGGACCGCATTAGCATTTTCTTCCAGGTGACTTCATTTGGTAAAAGTAACCATCATATTTTACTGTAGAAATAGAAGATTCTATCTTCTAATTAAAGAACTTTCATGAAATGTAAGCTGTGTAAACAGCAAACCACTTACAATCCCGGGACACGGATCCCACAGATGCTAACACAGGAATTGTACCATATGCAACACCGACAAGAAAGGTTGTTCTCAGAATCTGCTCCTTCCCCTCCGCCCACAGCCCTAGCGCCATCCCACATAACCTCCTGGGGAGAAGGGCCACATTGCGAGCGGCAAACAGAAACATACGAACTTTCACGGACCCACATCAATCTCTCATCTTGTTATTTGAGGGGAAAAAACCCTGCCTCCAACATTTAAGAAACTGTCGTCAAGTTTTCTGTTACTTGAAACTAAACGCATCCTTAATGGCTACCTTAGTCATACCATAAACCAAAAGAAAACTGGCAAAGCTCTATTACTATCAGAAAAAAAGATATTATAAGGAAAAACATTACTAGGGATAAAAAGGTATTACATAATAGTAAAAAGGGAATAATTCACAAGGAAGCTGTAGTAACGGTGAACCCAGTGTCCATGTGAGTGATGCAAAAGATCACAGGATTAACAGAAGAAATGAACAAGTCCACAATCCAACTGTTTGGCAGGGGGAGCAGAAAACATTTAGTAAGAATATATATAACTGAATAATCAATTACAAGCTGATCTAGTGGACATACACAAAGCTCCACACCAAATTAGGAAGGAGAAAATCTTTCCAAGAATACATGGAACAGTTAGAAAACCAGCTGTGTACTAGGCCACAAAGCAGATTCCCACTGACATCAGAAGTCTGTGTCATACAGACAACATGCTATTAAAAAAGTAGTGCTGATATATACCAGCAAGCCAATTAAAACTTTTAGTTTTGAAAATGATCCCACGTAGTTTGCTGTACAGGAACCACATCACAGTAAAGGTGTTTAAAAAAAGATCCCATTTGTTATAGTAACAAAACCCCAACAAATCTAAAGAAGAAAAGATATTGCAGAAGTTGTATAGAGAAAATGAAAACTGAAAACCTGTATTAAAGGGCACAAGAGGAGGCCTAAACGGAAGGAAAAACACGCCATCTTTGTGGGTGGTTAAGACTCAGTTTATGAAGGTGGCAATTCTCTAATCTGTACATGCACTGAAGTCCCAATAAAAATCCTCAGAGGGTTTTCTATGGAACTTGAGAAGCTGATCCTGAAATTAATATGGAAAAGCAAAAAGCCGCGGATAGTGAAGCAATTCTGAAGAACAAGGAAGGAGGAATCTCCCAATTAGCTCCCAGTACTTTAGTATGGAACGACAGAAATCCAGTCAGGTACAGGCAAAGGTTAAAAAACAGAAATGTGATGAGCCTAAGATCACACACACACTTGTGTATAAATGATAAGTGATACCATAAATCGATGAAGAAAAGATGGGCCATTTAAGAAATGGTACTAGGGCAATTGGTTATTTATGTGGAAAAAAATAAAACTGAATTTTTAAAATCTCATAACCTACACAAAACCAATTGTGTACAGAGCAAAGATTTAACTTTGAAAATATCGTAAAACATTCAGAAGACGTTACAGGAGACGTTCACAGCAGGAGAGGGAAGTAACTCTGAAGGAAAACACAATAGCATACAATCAAGGAAAAGAAGGACGCCTTTGAGCACGTAAAGACTCCATAAACAAAATAAAAATGCCGCAGACTGGAAGAAGCCATTTGCACCATACAGGACGGATGAAAAGACTGGGACTCAGGATACATAAAGCATTCCTGTATCTTGAGAAGGGTAACCAGTTTTTTCTTTTTAAGGCAATAGATACGAACAGTGAATTCACAAAAGAGGAAACCCAAATGACCAACAAACATATGAAAAGATGCTCAACAGAAGAAATGCAAATTAAAGCCAAAGTGAGACACCACTTCACACCCATCAGACTGGAAAAAAATAAAGACTGCAAACACCAGATGTTGCCAAGGAAGTGAGAGAGCAGGAACTCATCCATCACAGGCGGGAGTGTAAGCTGGTATGAGTTGCCAGGAGGGCAGTTTGGCAATACTAAAGTCGAAGGTGTGCTTTCTCTAAAATATAGTAATTCCACATCCAGGTATCGTCAAACCCCATAGTTACCTGAAGTCAGATTTAAAGCAATTAGCAGTTGGCCCAGCCTCAGATCTCGCAAAGGAGAAGGGGAACGTCTTCTCTTCTGTGGGGTGTGGGGGAAGGCAGTCAGGCAAGTGGGGATGTGTGGGGTTGGTCCCTGTGTCTCCGATACTTTCCCAGCCAGTTCTCTCCTGATCAGGCCAAAGAAATGAACTGACAACAAGGAAATCCCTGGCATGGCCGCTGTAAGTCTTGGAAGTCCCTGCCAGCTGCCAAGGCCCAGAATCACCCCTAGGAACAGCAACAGCCTGAGCGGACAACTACCGGGTGGCTCCAGAGTGCAGGTGGGGCAGCCCAAGACTGGGAGAGGGCTGCGGGAGCCTGCCCCTGACCTAACCTTACTGGGGTGTGTGGAAGGATGTGACTAATCGTGTGTGCTGGGCCGGACATAAGGTCCTACATAACTGTAGGAGGCTCTGATTCAGGATTATAAGAACAGAGTCAGCCTGATTTAAAAAAAAATTACGAAAAACAGGATATC